CTGAAACTCTCATTTGGACCTTGAACAGTTTGGACCCCATTGAAGTCCATTATATGGAGAAAATCCTGGAATGTTTTCATCAAAAACCTTCATTTCTTTTCAACTGAAGAAAGAAAAACATGGACATCTTGGATGACATGGGGGTGAATAAATTATCAGCAAATGTTTTTTTAAAAGTGAACTACTCCTTTAATAACGGAGAAATGTGAATGCTTCTCAGTAGATCTCGCAGCGATGTTGTTACTTCAGTGGCGAATTCGAATGCGTTTGACTGAGAAACGGTCCGTGAAGCACAAATTAATGAGTTTCGTTCCGCTTTCATTATGTTTGCCATTTGATGTTGTGGTGGTTTAAACGAATCCTTCGGTTTGTAATGCGTACCGAACCGAACGGTTCAATACGAATGCGTGTATCGTTACACCCCAAGTCTTTATGTAATGCATTGCACTTGTGTGTCTGCAGGGCTCTCTTCACCTATGAGGGAAACACAAATGACATCCGGCTGGCGGAGAAAGGAGGTGGGTTTTCCTCCGCCGTTATAGTGTCGAGACGCGATCAACGAGTTGGTTATCCACACTAGAATCATGTGCTATGTTGGAGATAAAACAGCGTTTCAAGCACACAGTATTAGCTCAAGTCCATCTCTAGCTCGCAGACTTGTTTTGCACTGTTCAGTGTGTTCTGGGAATGAATCATGAACGCTGCAGTGAACTGACAGACCGTCAAGGACAGGCCAAGATTCATCTGAACATCTGTCTTCCTACACGAAGCTCTTTCTATATGTGAGAAGCTCCTGTGCATAAGCACTGATGTTCACTATGGTAAAAGGGTGTTGTGTGGGAATATCGTTTTACTGTTTTTATAAAACAACTGAAACCGTAATGTGATAAAAGCCTCCAATAATCAATAAAAAGAGTATGCACGTCTTTTACTAATATAATATTACAAGACATTTGATATGACATTTACTTGGTGTCACCCCTGAGAATTTTCTCTTTATAATTTAACAACACATTCGCATGTTCATGGCTCTCTAATGTCAGTTAATGGACATATAAAGTGCATTTTTTAGAAAGTGCTTTATTTTGGTCTATTTTCTGTAAAATTATTTACTTGAATTTCACATTTATTGTTAAGTTTTCGACCCCCTGCGTTTCTCGAACCCCAGCTTGGAAGCCCTGGCCAAACTAAAGGGTGCTGGTTTTTATTTTTATTTAGTTTTTTTTTTACTCTTATAATGCATATGATTTTTACAGTCCAGACTGAGTCTGTTTATAAGCTTATAGTATTGCAGTGTATCAGTATTGAAAATGTAAAGGTTTTGAATGTTAGTGTAATTACCATGTTAATCTCTTTTTATTTAAAAAATTGAGATTAACATGGTAACATTAATTAATTTTAATAATATTATTTTTTATTTAGTTTTATTAAATTTTATTTAGTTTTTTTACTCTTATAATGCATATGATTTATTTATTTAGTTTTTTTAATCAACATTAATTTTTATTTAGTTTTATTAAATTTTATTTAGTTTTTTTACTCTTATAATGCATATGATTTATTTATTTAGATTTTTTTTTAATTAACATTAATTTTTATTTAGTTTTATTAAATTTTATTTAGTTTTTTTTACTCTTATAATGCATATGATTTTTGCAGTCCAGAGTCTGTTGTTTATAAGCTTATAAATTAATATTGCAGCGTGTCAGTATTGAAAATGTAAAGGTTTTGAATGTAAGTGTTATTACCATGTTAATCTCTTTTAATTAAAAAAAATTGAGAGATTTTTCATTAATAACAAACATTGCAATGCAAGAAAAATATATATTTCTTTTGATATTCATGAAAAATGTAAATTTATAGGAACACTTTCATTTCAACTTGTGAGAGCTCAAAAACAGTCCAAATTTATGACATTTCTAAAAACATATCAACTTGAAAACAACATTAATATTAATCTGGAATGTTTTCAAAAAAAAAATAATCCTTTTACTTGGATAAACTTTGACTTTTAGATGAAAAAGATAATTGTTTCATGCTGCAATGATTGATCAATAGGCATATTCATAGTATTCAACAAAATTCTTTCCATCAAGTTTGTGTGAGATGTGGAAAATAGGCTAGGTTTATGTTACGAAAGTCTTCATCACATCATGTGTATTGTATGAATGAAAGGGTGGTGGAACTGGCTCATCCAGTTAGATTCATATTTATCATTTTATATTGAATGATTGAACCGATTTGACCGCAGAAGTGTGTGATTTCAGATGGTGGTCTGGAGGAGTTGTTCGAGGAGCTGAACAGTGGAAAGGTCATGTATGCTTTCTGCCGAGTTAAAGACCCCAACTCTGGCCTTCCCAAATACGTCCTCATCAACTGGGTGAGTTTCCTTCCCTCTCTAACTCTTCACACGGTCTCCGGACTGTACGCCCTTGGGATTATCTGACCCAATTGCTGCAGTAAAGCGCCTCTGTCAAATGTTTTTATGAATCAGTTTCTCCTGTTCACCAAAGTCCAATAAAAAAATTAATCAGGACTGGACCGTTTGATGGCATATTTTATTTATCCACTGGATTATCTTAAAATAGGCATTGCCACTTGGTTATTTGATTATAGCAACTATTTTTCATTGTTGAGTTTCCTACAAAAAAATGTATGCCATAACCTTGATGTATAATTACTAGGGCTATCAAACGATTTATCGCATCCAAAATACAAGTTTGTGTTCACATAATATATGTGGGTGCACTGTGTATAATTATTTTATATATATAAATACACACATGCATGTATATATTTAAGAAATATTTTCATGTATATGCTGTATATAGATTTATAAATACATCATTTATATTATATATAAATATAAATATTTTATGTATATAAATAATATTTTTTAATTGTGCATATTTTTATAATTATACACAGTGCACCCACATATATTATGTAAACACAAACTTTTATTTTGGATGCGATTAATCGTTTGACAGCCCTAATAATTACATAATATTTTGGTCATCGACCACCCATAGTTTTCATGTTTATGTCAATTTTTTTGCATTTCATCTTTCAGACCGGTGAGGGCGTTAAAGACGCCAGAAAAGGCCAGTGTGCGAACCATGTGAGCTCCATGGCTAACTTTCTTAAGGTAAATTGGCTATTTTGTTATTTACTGTATATTGGTGTAACGGTATTTTTTACCGTTACACTTACCATTCACAAACACAACTGAAAAGAAGGGCATTGTGAATCGTTTTGGTGTAATGGTAAAAATTCATATGGATTAGTTTTACAATCTCTTTATTTTTAAGTGGTAGTTGCGTAGCTGTCAGTGGTGGGACAGAAATCTCTCAATTTCATCAAAAATATCTTAATTTGTCTCCTGACAATGAAAATCTTCCGAGTTTTGGAACAACATGAGGGTGAATGTTTGGGTGAACTATGCCTTTAATAATTAATAATACATGTTATTTAAACAGACTATGCAGTGTTATTTTACATTTGATTACTCCGTTCAATTTCTGTACCTGAAAAATACTGTTAGACCTACATGAAAAACTTGTTTCATGTGTATCTTTGCGCTTTATTTTTATTTGTATATAAAAATAATATATCTTTATATTTATTCAGTAGTCCTGAGCCTATAACACATACAGAACCGCACTGAAACTGTGAGTTTTTTGAACCGTTACACCCCTAGTGAATAGTGTGATTGAGTTAATGACCCGTGAACTTCAGCGACGAGCAGGCAAGAGGCTCACAACAGGATATGACATCATGGGCTATATCTACAGTGACACATTTGATTTGGCTTTGCTGGTAGTAGTTATTCAGAGCTTGACAACATCCGCCCACAAGCTCTTACAATCTAAAAGTCTCATGGCTGGTTCAAAATTTACAGCAGAAATTCACTTTAAGGGGTGTTTTTTTTGCCCACTTAAAGGGTTAGTTCACCCAAAAATGAAAATTAAGTCATTAATTACTCACCCCCATGCTGTACCAACCCCGTAAGACCTTCGATTATCTTCAGAACACAAATGCATGTGTCGTGGAAATCTATTGAAGTCTCGTTTCAGGCCAACAAGGAAGAAAAGGAATAGTCGAATAAAGTCGTTATTTTTGTTTGTTTTTTCGCACAAAAAGTATTCTCGTCACTTGATAAACTTATAGTTGAGCCGCTGTAGTCACATGGAATATTTAAACATTTTCTTCATTGACTTTCTGGGCCGACAAGTGTCATTCCCTTAGGAGCCTATGTGGTAGTGATCCAGCTCTCAAATTTAATCAAAAATATCTTCATTTGTGTTCTGAAGATGAACGAAGGTCTTACGGGGTTGGTACAGCATAGGGGTGAGTAATTAATGACTTAATTTTTATTTTTGGGTAAACTAACCCTTTAAATTGATTTCCATTGTAAGGGCAGGGAGTAATAATACACTATAGGGCTGTTACCAAATGAAATTAGTATCAACAAAAGGTGGTACAGAAGCTACGTACATCTAAAGTGGCATTGGATTTACACATTTATTTCAAGTTTTACTTTACAGTTCAGAGGCATTACACTGTGATTTGACATTTGCTTATGTTTTGTGTTAATTTTTTAATATAGAAAAATGACAATTAATTATATTTTTAGAAATGTAAAACTAAAACTGCCAGTAGGTCTTGAGTGATAGTTCACCCAAAAATGAAATTCTGTCATCATTACTCACCCTCATATTGTTCCAAACCAATATAATCTGCTAATATAATCATATGTTGGTCTACTGTATTTTCGTTTACTGTTGTGAAATGGAAAATCAATAATCGGTAATCGAGAATCGTTAATAATCGAAAATCGACTGTAATCGAATCGGGATAATCAGACAGATTAACCACCCCTAACGTATAGGCTATAATGTTTAACCGACGCTGATGTGCGAGAGTTTCTCCCATCCCCATACAACGTCACCTCTCTGTGTTTCACTGTCCTGACAAGAACGTCGGTCTCATCGGCTGTGAACGCGCCTGGTAAACCCGCCGTTATAATAACAATCCATCATGCAACATGCACACCTGTTCTTAAAGGGTATGTTGGATGGCGCTCGGATTGGTTTATTTCACGTTACGCCCAAACCACACCTATGAATAATGAAGCTACATCAGACCAACCTCTTTTAGATTTACGCCAGGCGCAAGAGGCATTTATCCCGCCGGGAAAATAGCAACAGCGCCGGGACCCACCCACAAAGTTACTTGCGCCATGCGCTTTGACACTTGCATTTCAGATCGTTAAAATAGGGCCCTTTGTTAACATTGGTAACTTTGCAACATCACATTTGCAATTGTGCTGATATCTGTGAAAACTGCCTGTGTGATATTGCTTAATTATATCATGTTATAAATATAAAACAGGAACAAAAACTGGTATTTAATCTGGACCTTTGAGCTCATTTGTATCCGTTTTAGTGGCGTGGCTTCCACTTTTGTGGCGTGACTTCCATCCATCAGCTTTTGATTGGATGGAGGGAGATCGAATGTGAGCTTGCAGTCAATAGAATGCAATTGTCACATTGTGGAAGTAAAAACTCCATTTATTTTCTCAATAGGGGAACTGGTTTTTAATGAGAACTTTCAAAGGTGGACTGTGAACCTGTAGAGACAGACCTACTGTGAGCCGCGAGGTTGTTCATTGATGGTATATGCTTTTAAGCGGGTCAAATAATTGAAGTCCGAAGTGTTAACAGAGTATTGTCGTATGTTCCAGTGTTGTTTTAACTTCACCTCTGGAAAGATGAATGTGTATTTAAAACAGGTCATTTATGTAAAAGAAATTTGAAATTATTTTTGAATTTGGAGCTTTCTAGACTGAGAAAAGCCAGGAAATGTATTTTTGACTAATGTGGATGAAAGACAACAACTCCCAGAATGCACTTGCTTCGCTGGCCTAGGAGGCCACGCCTACCGGTAACAGAGCGCAGTCGTTAAACAACAAGTCTAGGCTACTAGTGAGTCTCCGGATGAGTCTGCCTGAAAATGTTTCGAGATTGCCCAAAATGTCCGGGATTCGGCTTTTGCGTTCTACAGTCGCCATTCATCATGTTTACTGTGGCGAGCGGGACGAGTGAGGGCCGCGGGAGAACGGCGCGAGGCCGGTGGTGTGATTACCGATGAGCGACACCTGTGAGACGCACCGGTCTCGTATCTCTCACGAAGGAGCGGGAATTTTCTTAGCAACGTTAAAACGCACATCAACCGATCACTTGTTTAGCGTTCATGTAAACACTACAGTCAGATTCACCAATCACAATGAATTCAGTTAGACTGAAACAAAAGCTGTGCATGTAAACAATGAATGGCGACTGCAGAAAGCAAAAGCTGAATCCCGGACATCGATGGCTGGACATGTCCAGGAACAAGAGGATGGTAACCCCGACTACTCGGCTTTCTCCACAGAACAAGAGCCTGCTAGCTTAGCTTCCAAACAAAGATGGCCGACACTATGTGTTCATTCTGTGAGTGAGATCGCCCTCTATGGGCGGGTTGAGGATAGGGCTGGGCGATATATCGAATATGTACGATGTATCGTTATATTTTTTGAAACGATATGGAATGAGGCAATACCGTTTATATCGATACAGTAGTTTGATATGAGCACATCTGAAAAATAGCGGAGGTTGCAGTGTGAGCTGCTGCAGTGAAAGTAGCTAGGCTACGTAGTACAATTTGTCCTAAACATGACACAAGCTTATATTAATTGCGTCAAAATCACTTTGATATAGTTAACAAGTTTAAGGCAGCTTGCCGCCCTGTCAAATGCTCTGACAGACACTGTTGCTGACTGACAGATATACTTGCGCTGTTTAATGCGTTTGAGATGTGGTGCTTTCCTCAGTGCTCAACTTACATTTCACATATTCTCCATCTGTAAATGTTAGAAAGTAAAGCAAATATGTCCATTTCACAACAAATATGTCCATGTCAGAAGAGGACGAGCTTCTGCAAGTGAATCTCCGCTAAAATTCATGGTTCCTTGAACGAGCGCCGGCGCGCGCATGCGCGTGAATAGTACTACGTAGTACGCAATAATTCTGACTAAAATAAACATATTGCTAAAATATTTGTTGTTGGAGAAAATAAATGTGCCATATGTGGAATTTTAAACCTACAAGTATATATTTTTAATGAAAGTGATTATAATGGGGTAATCAAATGCAGGCTAATATAATTAGTTTGTGCTTTTGTTTTTGTTTTTATTTTCATTTTTAGTTTAGCTTTTAGTCAATATAAAAACAAAAGCTTTTTGCACATAATATATTGCATAGCCTATATTATATTTGTTTCCATATCCTTCAATATCAACATTGTTTGTAGGATATCATTGGGCCGAATGTGAATATACTGTATATATATATATATATATATATATATATATTTTTTTTTTAATATAAAGATTTTCTTTATCTAAATAGAAAACGTAGAAAGTACCGAGATATATATCGTATATCGCCATTTGACCAAAAAATATCGAGATATGATTTTTTGGCCATATCGCCCAGCCCTAGTTGAGGACATGCGGGACAGACCCGACTACTGACTGTAGTCTTTAGCCTCTGGTCAAAAAAATCCTCTGATGATGCAAAATGATGACGAGGATTTTTTCCAGACAAAAAAAATACATAAATCTCTCGTCTCAGGGGGATATGAGAGTGGAAAGCACAGTCATTTGAAAATACTACAGGTTTCCTACTTATATAAAGTTTAATCCTAAATCCTAAAGTATCCCTTTAATGAAAAAATTGCTAAGTCAAAAAATAATGCATCATAAGAGGCAACATAGGGGAGGCATTTAGAACATAGAAAATGTAGTTTATCTAAGCTAGCTGTGTTTATTTTCAGTAAGAGCCAACACACACAGCTAAAGGTTGCTGATGAATATGCTAACGAGAGCGTGTTTGTGGGTATGTTTCGTTTGAAATCAGACAGTAAATGTTGATGCTTGCATCTGATGGTTTCATACGCATGTTTTAATCGAGTATTGAAAATGTGTTTTCAACGTGTGTGGGACTAAACTGATGGCTCTGTGTGTGTCTGCAGGGAGCTCACGTGACGATAAACGCACGAGCGGAGGAGGACGCGGAGCCTGACGCCATCATGCAGAAAGTGGCTAAAGCCTCAGGAGCCAACTACAGCTTTCACAAAGAGACCAATCGCTTCAGAGACGCCGGGCCGCAGGGGCCTGTGGTCAGTGTCACGCACATCATCACCAGAGCAGCGTCCAGTGCAACTTTTATTTCCAGTCCAAAACATGCGTATAGTACTGTTCAAAAGTTTGGATTCAGCAAGATTTAAAAAAAAAAAAAAGAAAGTAAAAAACTTATATTCAGCAAGGACAAATTAAATGAATCAAAGGTGACAGTACAGACATTTATAATGTTATAATTTCTATTTCAATTAAATGCTGTTCAACAGTTTACATTAATTTAAGCAGCACAACTATTTTCAATAATGATTAGAGTGATTTCTGAAGGATCGTGTGACACTGAAGACTGGAGTAATGATGCTTAGATAACAGGAATAAATTACATTTTATAATATATTCACATAGAAAACGGTACTTTTAAATAGTGTTGTCAAAAATATCGATATTTCGATATATATATATATATATATCTCATACTGGGATATCTGAAATGGTTCCAAGACTCCTTTTCTGCAGTATCGATATTGCTAGTGTCAGTAATAGCAGCTGCGCATTGACACACACCCGCCTCCTCTCACTCTTTTGTCTCCTTTGCTCCGATTGAATGGTGCTGTATTGTGCTAAATTTTACTCATTCCTGCAGGTTTATGACTTATGTCTTCGTTTTGTTTTGTTTTTTACATAGTGTACAAATTTAAGAATACAAGGAAAACCAGACAGTACAACTAAAACAAAACAAGTGGGGTTGGACTAACATAAACAAGACCTAATCATAAATGAATTATTACAGTGAGAACAATAATTATACACGATTCAGACCCACGAAGGGCTGCCACACAGTTTGAAATTGGCGATGAGAAAATTCACATAACCGAGCTTTGAACGACGGACAGTCTGAAGATTTCCCGTTTAAAAGTATTGTTTTTTCGCAAGAATCCTACCCATGAATCGCGTTCGTTGCTGAGATCTTGGAAAAGTATTCAATGTCTCAGAGGATCCAAGAATTGCAAGACCATGGTCTGGCTCAACCAAACGTTAAACAGTTTGTGACAACCAAAAGAACCCTCGGCTCCTCTATTTTACATCCGTCGCAAACTGGAGAAATAGAATTGTATATTTTACTTAATTTCGTTTTGGAATAATACAATCTATGTACCACTTTAAATTGTGTCTCACATTTATTGAGCAATCTTGGATCTTATTGAGACTGTCATTCGGTTTCGTCGGACACTTCTTCATCAAAATCCCTAGTCCAGGCTTCTTTTATATGATTGACGTTCACAGGTAGTTGGAAAGAATTAACTCCCCGCGAAACCAGATGTTTAGACCTTGGACTTCGCAAGAAAATTTGCTCAAAGGTATTAATCTCTGGTTTGTCAATAAATTGCAGAATTACCGTTTGAACAAAAAGTCAGACCTTGGGAGATTAAATACAGATTGCAATTGGTTAAAAGATGCAAATTAGCCATCTATAGATGTCCGACCTTTACTTTTCCATTGAATAAAACCTCTGTCTAGCTGAAAGGGTTTAAACATGTGATTGTTAGCGATGGGTGTGGGCACAGTGTTTAAAAGTGGTATCATACACTGCATGTTTATCTCAGCGCTCTTTCACAGTGCTGTGTCAGGAGTTTCTCAGGGAGGGAGCCTGAATGCTGCGAATGTGAAAACTGTTGTGGTGGTTTGGATGATTTCTCTGCTGAGCTCCAAATTAACCCACACACTCTTATGTACAGTACATTGGGAATGAGTAAACTTGCTTTTATTTTTAACCCCTGCAGAAGCTGTGAGATCCCCCCACCCACCTCATATGCATGCTTATTGGCTTATGCTTTCAGCTATAAGAGTGTCACTCTCAGCTCTGATATATATATATATATATATGTGTGTGTGTGTGTGTGTGTGTGTGTGTGTGTGTGTTCAGTTTCATTCCATAGAACCTTTCCACTGAAAGTCTAAAAATTTTGTCTGGACTTAATATAATTAACCAATCATTGTTTTTTTCTATACAGGGATCTGTTTACCAGAAGACTAACGCCATGTCTGAAATCAAGAGAACCAACAAAGACACGTTCTGGGCCCAAGCAGAGGTAACGCTTACATGGCTAAAGTATGTTGTGCAGTTGTCTCTGACAAAATAATAATTTTAATGCAATTCTCAAGCTTTTTGACTCCAATATTTAAAGGCTGCATTACTTTTACTGTTTATGATTTACTAGATAAGGATATAATCTTTTCAAAATATTTTTACCCATATTTTATCCATACTCGTACGCATTTTTATTCCCAATTATATTCTTTAGAATATATATATATATATATATATATACAAACCCAATTCCATAAAAGTTGGGACACTGTACAAATTGTGAATAAAAACAGAATGCAATGATGTGGAAGTTTCAAATTTCAATATTATATTTAGAATACAACATAGATGACATATCAAATGTTTAAACTGAGAAAATGCATAATTTTAAGGGAAAAATAAGTTGATTTTAAATTTCATGGCATCAACACATCTCAAAAAAGTTGGGACAAGGCCATTTTTACCACTGTGTGGCATCCCCTCTTCTTTTAATAACAGTCTGCAAACGTCTGGGGACTGAGGAGACAAGTTGCTCAAGTTTAGGAATAGGAATGTTGTCCCATTCTTGTCTAATAAAGGCTTCTAGCTGCTCAACTGTCTTAGGTCTTCATTATACTCTCAGTCTGCCTTTTATATATGAACGATTTCTGTTTAGCTCAATGCTTTTGTCTCTTTCTCAGAAAGACGAGGAGAAGCGTCTCCAGGAGGAGAGGAGAAGGGCATCGGAGGAGAGGCAGCGGCTGGAAAAAGAAAGGAAGGACCGAGAGGTGAAGGAGGCCGAGTTACGGGACAAGAAAGCCAAAGAGAGAGCGTCAGAGATCGATGAAGTCAGGTCAGTGTGCGCAGATAATCGTGTCTTTAAAGGGATGGTTCACCCAAAAATCATTTACTCACTCTTCCCAAACCTGTGTGACTTTCTTTGTTCTGTGGAGCACAAACGTAGATTGGTAGTCCACCAAAAAATTAAACGTGCGTGACACAAAAGAGCATTTTGAAGAACATTTTCGGTTCCCATTTACTTCCATACAAAAAAAAAAAAAAATGGAAGTCAATGGGACCCGAAACTGTTTGGTTTTCTTCAAAATATGCTCTTTTGTGTCATGCAGAAGACAGTCAGTCATACAGGTTTAGAACAACACAGGTTTAGTTGAGTGAGACGTTTAATTTTTTGATGGACTATCAATGAGATAAGCAATGGTCATTTTTACAATTCGATTGTAAATGTTGCACTTATATAAAGTTATAAGTGTAGAAAGTATATAGTTACGAGCCAACTGAATAGCGCCTGCTAAGTGTTGATGTGTTTGTGTAACAGAAAGTACCAACAGAAGCAGGACGTGGACAATCAAGGCCAGCAGAAACAGCAGTGGGTGAGCGGCACACACACACACACACACACACACACACACCTGTGTCGTTATTTATATCCACACATTGCCACTCTGGACATGTTCTGACATGGTTACTGTGGAGAAGCCACAATATGTTTGAAACCTTAATGCAAGCACAAAAAACACACACACTGGACTACTTTTGTCACTCTTTGAATATTTTTACGCTGCTACGTGTCTTGAAAAAGGCGGTTGCTAATAAGTGGCTAAATGGCACTAGCATGGGCTGTCGAGTTGATTAAACATCACGCCGAACAGCTTAACGCTTCTACAGCATTGTTATGTTTATAATTGTGCCCTTATAAACTATTCTTACTCAAATGTTCTAAGATAAAAATAGAAATTGGAAAAATGCCTTAAAATAGCTTGAATGTAACTCGACACCCTTGCTTCATTTATTACAAGTGAGATTTAGGAATATGCAAATGAGCCCCGCCTCCACACGCTCACTCAGCTCAGAGATCCAATCGTTGACGATCACACGTTGATCTGATTGGTTACAAGGTCGTTTGTGACGTCAGAAACACCAGCGATTTCAAAGCGTGTTTTTGAGTCTGCAGTTTTAAGGAGGAAATACTCAGCAATGCTGTCCACTTATGAATTTACACATGGTGTGTCTTAAAGCACATTAAAAACACCACACAGACACATAAACAACATTAAAAGCTGGATTTCAATCAAATGTAACCTCCCTTTAAATACTTTGGCCAGATCAAGAATAATTTATGCAATTTTTTTTACTATTCATTTGAAAGAATTAAAAGAGCATTTTCATGTCTATCCTTTGTGGTGTTCAGCTGGTCTAGGTTGATAAGGGTTTAATTAGTACTGCACTACTTTTCAGAGAGAGTAACCGCGATCAAGATGTAATAATTAGTAGCTAGCAGTAATGACCTTTTTACAGCCACTTACCCAAAAGTGTATATTTGTCAATCTCACATGTGGAGAACAGAGCAGTCCGACCCACTAATAGCCACGTAAATATATCAACCATGTTATAAACACTATAGCATTATCACAATTCTACAATTGCATGTCATCCTGCCCAATGTCTATAATTCAATGGCCACAACAACTTCCCTTTTTCAGCAGTGTGGTTGTCTGAACCCACTGTTCTTCAGATAGCATCTTAACACTTCGATGTCCACATTGATAATCTTCAAACCACATTTCCAAAATGTATTCACTGTGACAGAAATATGTGACGTGCAGCATCATTTACAAGTGAAACTCAAAAATTAGAATATGGTGTAAAAGTTGGGAAGAAAGCACACTCTTAGAAGGAAAGGTTCTATATAGAACCTTAAAAGGTTCTATCAGCGCTACGTATTTGGAACCCCTAAAAGGTTTTATACACTCTTAAAAAAAGGGTTCCTCTGGGTTCTATATAGAACCCTGGGGTTCCGTACTTGGCCAATAGAACCTTTTACAAAAAAAAATGGTTCTATATAGAACCATTTTGGAGTTCCATATATGAAGCGGGGGATCTAAATAGAACCATTTCTTCTAAGAGTGCATCTTATTAGACAACATAATCAAATATGATAGCTTTGTAACAGAATCAAGTATGTAAGAGTCAAAGTGTGCTGCTGTCCATCAGGAGGAGGAGGAGAAGCAGCAGAAACCCTTTAAACGTGGAGAGTCGGTGGAAAAAGCCAATGTGAGTGAAGTCAATCAAACATCTCTTCTGGCCCTGGACTGAGGACTGTCTGGCTGATAGCTTTTCTGGCTTAATCCCAGTTTATAAACCTGTTTGTTCCGGTCACAAATGCTAATTTGTCAGTACAGATTTAGTAAAATACGCACTTATGTAGAATGAAGCATTCGATTTATGAAATTACATCTTGATAACTCTTATCAGAGAAATGTGGCAATCCATTGTGCTTTTTTTGGCAATAGAGGTGAAATTTGAATATTGTGCAAAAGTTCATTTATTTCAGTAATTAAACTTAAATTCAAAATTAGAATATTGTGAAAAGGTTTTTATATCTGTAATCAATAATCATCACAATTATAACAAATAAAGGCTTGAAATATTTCAATATTTACTTTGCATGTAATGAGTCTATATATTAGTTTCACCTTTTAAGTTGCATTACTGCAATAAATGAACTTTTGCATGATTTTCTCATTTTACGAGTTTCACCTGCATTAGCACAAAAGCATGCATGATGCAATGTAAACATTTATAATACCACCCAAGTTATTATGAGATGCTATTTTCGACATTATGTCGATTCGGGATGCAATAATGCCAGTCACGCATACCTCAACCGTAGGATGGGTGGTTTGTAGATTGGGATTTCGCCTAGCCCTAGTTCTCTCACTCTTCTCCACTTTCAGTATATAACCACTTTGGATCCCTGGCTCTTATCTTCTCCATGTACTGTCATCAGTGTTATCAGTTGTGATACTCCTGGCTACTTTTAAAGTTTGTGTGTGTGTGTTTGTAACAGGAAGCTGCGTCTCTCGTTTCCCAGCGCTCCGTTAATCCCAGAGAAATGTTCAAACAGAGAGAAATGGGAATCAACACTTCTAACAAAGACAACTCTCAACTCAGTCCAAAACCAGGTACCACTTATCTGTTCACATGCTTAAAATAACACACACACACTATACGAGTATATAGAATAAATAGAGAATAAAGAAATGTAACATCTAAAAGTATATATATATATAGTGCAAATAATATATAGTATTGCATTTATAAATAACTGTAAATATCTAACTATAAATATATAATTGATCTGCTTGTATAATTATGATTTATCTGATGAAAAAAAAATGAGGGAACCAATTAAATAACTTTTTTGTGTAGTAAAATAAAACCTGTAGCTGTAGTTTTCCAAATAATGTTGTCAGATAAAACACCATAACCAAGAACAAAACACTAAAGTTTTGTTATTAAATGTCTAAAATATTTTCCTCAAATTTTGACGGTTTAATCAAACTTGTAGTGTCCTTAAACTACTATTGTATAAATACATTTTGACTTGAATATAATTAAACATTTATTTTTTTTATACTTTTTAAAATGTATATCTACAAATATATAGTTGTACATCTCTGTGTAAATATATAACTCTAAATTATGACATGTATTTATATTTGTAAGATTTCTATTATAGTGTGTATATATATATAATTACTAGTTATATATATTGGCTCCTGAGGTTTTATATATATATATATATACATATATATTAAGGCTGTCAAACGATTAATCGTGATGATCCGAAATAAGTTTGTGTTTACATAATGTATGTGTGTGTGTGAACTGTGTATAGTTATTTTATTTTTATAAATGCACACACATGCTTGTATATATTTAAGAAATATTTATATATAATTTATATAATTTGTAAATATAAATATTTTATATATAAAATAATATTTTTTTCTTAAATATACATGCATGTTTGTGTATGTATGTATATATATATATACAAAATAATTATACACAGTGCACCCACATATATTATGTAAACACAAACTTTTATTTTGGATGCGATTAATCGTTTGACAGCCCTAATATATGTATAGTAATGAATCTGTATAAATATACAGAATATACAAACTGAGATGATTAGTGGTTATAAATATTAAGCTTTATATCTCGCCAGGATAATAAATCAATACAGTCTTGATTTCAAATGTGCACATTAGTCGTTCTTGATAAGATCTCTACAAGCACAGTTTACACTGTAGGAAGTGTTTTATTGAATGCCACAGTATTTGTATATTCTATTTAGCTTCCCCTTTTGCTATGTGGGTCACGTTTCATGTAGTTTTCTAAACGCGTTTAAGGAATGCCCTCGTCTGTCAGATAGGAGATGCAACAGCTAACTCCTGAATGTTGGATGTTCTGTGGTATTTCCCATGCTCCCGTTTTTCTCTGGCCATTCGTCTGTCTGAAACTCGACACTGTCATTAAACGCCCTGCAGATCTTCTGTCTAAAACAATGTTTGTGGTCTCTAACACCGTCAGCCATCTGTCAGCTTGGGTTTCTCTCTTTGCCGTTCTCGTTTCTGTGTGTCTCAGGGCGGTTGAACAGCCCTTTTCTGTCCAAGCAGTCATGTGACCCAGAGCCATTTCGCTCTCCTGTGCGTCAGGCTTCACCTTTACAAGCCAGAGGTACATAAACACACACGTATCTCACACTGGGAAAGGTTTGGTGTGTTATCCATCTACATGCTCACACACACACGCCTCTGTGTGGTGCTTTCATGTCTCGCGACTAACATCTAACCACTTTCCTCATGCTTGCTGTATCATTCTCAATACAAAGGGGTTAGGTTTTTATTGTCAGTGTGTGAGCGTGTCTGAACAGCTTGCTGTGTGTTTGCCTTGTGGACTTAAAGGGACAGTTCACTTCACACAAAAGGTGAATGTCTGAAGAGTATCATGGCAACTCTTTTCATTATGAAGCAAGTGAATGAAGGACGGGCACATTCAAGCTTCAGAGGATTTTATTTCGAGTCTCCGATTTAAATGTAAGATGTATTAAGATCAAGATCGTTTTACTGTCGGGATTTACTAAAGACACGCAGTGAAATATCAGGGATGAAAAGGCGTGAACAGGCTTGTTTTTGTGGTTGAGTTTATTACATATGCAATTGTAGGAGTTTCCCTTTCAGATGCAAAATGTATGGGAGGAGAGACTTCACGCATCATGCACTGTGATTTAATAAGGTTTGCAGTAGTCAGACCACTGGTATTTGCACCATTATGCAATGCATGTTTTTAAAAAGCATGTCTTAACCCATTTTGCGCTTGATGGCGATAAAGAGAGAGGATATTGTCCACTCGTGTTCAGAGGAAGATGTTATCTGGACATATAGATTGCCGAGTCACATTATTTTTGCTCTTTTATATCTGCTGCGTACCTGATTATCACCGCCTCTGCTTGTTTGTGGCCCAGTGCAAATCAGCGTGGGTCGATATTGAAATGAACCGCTGCGCCTGTGTTCTTTAATGTGTGCATCAGTAGATTCGCTCGCAGATCTGTACACTCCCATTGTGTTTGTGGCCTTTCTAATTTGGCCCTGAGGGGTCGTGCATCGGTTTCAGCAAAAAATACTTTTTATGCGCCATTCATTTATACGATAAAGGCGTTTTGGGGCCTGAAAACGCAGGTTTTAGAAAACAATACCGTTATCATCTCCATGTAAACTACGTAAAAACATGAATTTGTGAAAACGGTGACGACGTCATGCGTATTAAAGGAGTAGTTCACTTTTGAAAAAACTTTTGCTGATAATTTACTCGCCCCCATGTCATCCAAGATGTCCATGTCTTTCTTTCCTCAGTCGAAAAGAAATTAAGGTTTTTGATGAAAACATTCCAGGATTTTTCTCCATATAATAGACTTCAATGGGAACCAGGTCCAAACGACAGTTAATAACAGTTTCAGATGCAGCTTCAAATGTCTTTAAACTACAACAGACGATGAATAAGGGTCTTATCATGCGAAACGATCGCTTATTTCAAAGCTTATTGCAAAAATGTAACTTTTCTAAGGACAAATGCTAGCCTTGTAATATATTGTGAGGCGCGTTTGCAACGTCACGTAATACGTAATTACGCTCAAAAGGTCACGGGCGACGTAGCCGGAAGTACAGAATCAAAATCGTCCGACATCGTTGTTTTACCTTTTAATTCCTTTTTTGTAAACGGCGTTTGAGTTAGTTTTCACGTTCAACCTATGCGTTCAACTTGTAAACACTCTGACTCTGTACTTCTGGCTACGTCGCCCGTGACCTTTTGAACGTAATTACGTATTACGTGACGTTGCAAACGCGCCTCACAGAATAGAGCAAGGCTAGCATTTGTCCTTAGAAAAGTTACATTTTTGCAATAAGCTTTGAAATAACCGATCGTTTCGCATGATAAGACCCTTATTCATCGTCTGGTGTCGTTTAAAGACATTTGAAGCTGCATCTGAAACTGTTATTAACTGTCGTTTGGACCTCGGTTGGACCTGGTTCCCATTGAAGTCCATTATAAGGAGAAAAATCCTGGAATGTTTTCATCAAAAACCTTAATTTCTTTTCGACTGAGGAAAGAAAGACATGGACATCTTGGATGACATGGGGGTGAGTAAATTATCAGCAAAAGTTTTTTCAAAAGTGAACGAATCCTTTAAAGCCCGTTCACACCGCCAGCGACAAAGTGACATGATCCCATTCATTTCAGTAGAGCGCTGGCGACTTCTGGCGACACGAGCAACAGTGACCGTTGGCGACAGAATGTGGGCGTGTCAAGAGACAAGCGACAAAAGTTGAGAAATTTAAATTTATGCAAATGAGAATCGATTTTCGCGAGCGACAACCAATAGGAAAGAAGACTTTCAAAATGCATGTCATCCCATTCGTCTCAAAAGCAGGCAAAACGGAAGAGTTCGAGGACGATTTTACCGTATTATATGATTTGACTGTAAGCACATACATGGATAATAAAATAAAGCATGGTGAGTTTAAGTCATACATTTAACTTTATAGTTTGAGTGTTAATTTTATGATGCACATTTAGCACTGCTGCAGTTCATTTTTTTATTTCGCCTGCATTACGTTGACTATTAGGGACAAGAAAATTGATTATTTGTCAAATTCGAATGATGTTTTAATAATTTATGTCACTGAACACTGCTGTGGTAATATAAAACACTCTCCCTTAAAAGTCATCGATTACATAATTCGAAGTCAAATTAAAATTATATAGTTGTTTACATCACTTGTGATGGTATTTTGTATAGATATGGCCAGACGTGCAGACCAAATAACAAGAGCGACAGCACCACAAACGCCCACAAGCGACTTCACAGTACAGAGACTAGCGACATACAGCGACAAAGTCGCTGGCGATGTGAACGCGGCTTAAACCTGGAACACAACAAGCCGACGCCGACAAACTAGCGCTGATGAAAGCCGACTGTGTTGCCTCGCGTCGGCGTAAAAAGCTGGCGTGTAATTGAGACTATCTATTTTGTGTAATTGAGACTATCTATTTTATCTATTATCTATTATATCTATTATATTATTGATTATCTATTATATATAATCTATTTCTGCAGATATATTCGCATTTCAAAAGGGAAACCGACGCTACACACCGTAAACAAAGGAGTGCGAATATCAATCCTGCTAAACACTTTCTTTATTCCACTCCGCTCGTGTTAATACTGAAATATTCGCCAAGGAACACTCGGGTAACATAAGAACAGCCTTCTATCTCGTTTTGACTTCTTTGCTCGCTGTTTTGCTATTATTTTTGTGCACTGACACGTTCACTAAGCTGAACAGCCAATCAGAGTTCCCTCTTTCACCGATTCTGCTAGTTTTGTGTGTGTTATTTTGGAGCTTAAAGCCTCAGTCCTCTTTCACTGGCCAGAATATTCTTCAGAAATTCTCCTTTTGTGTTGCATTGAAGAAATTCATATAGTTTTGGAATGACATGAAGGTGAGAAAATAATGACACGCTTTTCTTTTTTTCTGTGAACTGTCCCTTTAAATTGATTAATGGACTCAATCTCGGGGTGGCTGTTATGATGGTACACGACTGTTAAAGTTTGGGGGCAGTCGGAGTTTTTTAATGGTTTTGAAAGAAGTCCTTAAGCTGAACAAGAATATTGTGAAATATTATTACCATCTTAAACAACTGTTTTCTACTTTAATATGTTTTAAAATGTAATTTATTCCTGTGATCAAAGCTATATTTTCAGCATCATAACTCCAGTCTTCAGGGTCACATGATCCTTCAGAAATCACTCTAATATGAGGATTTGATGCTCAAGAAACATTCATGATTATCAATGTTGAAAACAGTTGTGCTGCTTCATAATTTTATGGAAATTATTAAAAAAAAAAAAAAATTACTGACCCCCAAGCTTTTGAACAGTAATCTGTGCAACATGTAGAAATTGTATTTAATTAATTATGTCTGAAAATTATAGTCCACTTGGGTTTGGATATGGCTTTTCAATCAATAAACCTTTTCTTTTTTAAATCACAAGTTTAAATTTAAAACATCTGTTGTTGATAAAATATATTTTACTTAACAATAAAACAGTCAAATAACTCTATTGTGATCTATATGGTTACTTTGATATTAAAAACATCAGTCGTACAGAGACGTGTTGGTCATACCGCCCTCAAACTCTGACTCTACCCGTCTGTGTGTCAGAACACTGATCTAGTGTGTGCTTGTTACCATGCATGTGTGTGTGATTCTGTGTTTCCATGCATGTGTGTGTGTGTGTGTGTTTTGAGTAGAGGCCAGCTTTGAGGAACAACCCAGATCTCAGTATGTGGAGCCAGAGGCAGAACCTGAGCCAGAGTATGAAGGTGGGATACACACACACACACACACACACACACACACACTATCATCTGTTTGGCTGTTACGCTGTGTCATTTCCTTGTCATTTTCTCATCATCAGCCCTTGTTTGTGTCACTCACTTGAATGGCTGAATGTCAGCACCACCTTGTGGGAAAGGTGTGCTATTACAGGAGACGGCAAATAATTACTCTTGTCTTTTGTATCTCAGATGTACAAGCGGTCAGTGATAATTATGAAGAGCCTGTAGAACAAAAGCAGCCACAATATGAAGCAGTAGTGGAACCAGATGCTATCTATGAGGAACCACCACAGGTACCAGAACTAACCACTTCTGAATTATAACAGCAAAACGTGTAAAACCTAGAAGATACAAAGCCTTACATGCGAATGTTAAGCTATTATATGAGTGTTTAGTGTTATTTTACACTATTATTATTATTATTATTATTATTATTATTGTGAATTGAGATGAGAAAAATGCATTGAAGAACCCATGAAGTATTGTTACTGAAATAGAATATATCAGCAGGACATATCAAATACTAATTTATTTATTTGTGTATGTGTTGACATGTATGTTTGCATTTTATTTTTTATACTTAATTGATTTTAATTAGAGATGAAACTGATGTATGAGCCACTGATATCAAGTTTGGTTGGACTTGTCGGGGTCAGGGGTTTGATTTGTCAGGGTCAGCGGTTGGACTTGTCTGGGTCAGGGGTTTGACTTGTCGGGGTCAGGGGTTTGACTTGTTTTGACTTGTCGGGGTCAGGGGTTTGACTTGTCGGGGTCAGGGGTTTGCCTTGTCGGGGTCAGGGGTTTGGCACGTGATGAATAATAATGACAGAATTAAAATTTTGGGGTGAACTCGCTGTAAGTGTATGTGATTTCATTGTGTGTGTTATTTGTGAATCTTTCACAGGTGGAGGAGTCGAACACGATGTACGAGGTGGCAGAAGATCGTGGGGTCTGCGCCAGGGCTCTGTACGACTACCAAGCCGGTGAATATTGCTTTAATATGATAAACAAGCTGCTTTTACGTGGACCCTAATAACTAGATTGTAATCACTGTCGGAATCAACAGTCACATGTAACCATGGAGTGAATTGGCCAAATCCAAATTCCCCTTCCACTGTGTCTGTGAAGTGGAGCTGGACATATTCAGTCCTTGTTTCAGACTCTCCTCCACAGACGCCTTGTTTTGGGCAGGAAGGGGCGTTTTTGCTGCTGGATTAGGGGGTAATAAGCAGCACAACACCACGGTTCATGCGCGTGTTGTTTCCTAAATTAGGACCCAAAAAGGATAAATATTAGGCCACCCTTAAAAATATTCTTGTTTGCCGTAACCCGACCGACCCTGTCAATTTAGGGCCGACCCAATTTTTTTTTTTTTTTTCCTTTTAGTCCGACCGACTTGCCGGTTGTAACCTGCGTTCAGACCGACCGATTTTTTTTTACTCTTCAAACGACTAATTCAAATTCAATAAAATAATATTAATTATATTTTAGTTAGTATTGTGAAAGTTGCTTGTGTCTACATAGCCTACAAACGTAGGCTACGTTCTTTCTTAAATAAAAACCCGTGGCGTCATAGTCATCAGATTATGTTTACACCATTGGTTTAACGTTACGCGTGTCACTATATGGCTTGTACGTTCGCTCGTTTCAGTGTTCCCGCTTGGTACCCGGTATTAAAAGGGCAACGGGGCTGAATATCAACCATTTCTATATATAATAAAAATATTAAACAATTTGTCTGTGATGCAATTTTGCTATTCGCAGTCCAGAAGAGAGAGCGATCTCTCACTCGGATCCAAAGCGCGCACAGCACGACAGCCCTGCTTAATGAGTGACAATGAGGACAAAACGTGGTTACACTTTAGATCTGGGATATAATTCTAATTGTATTTTAGATTTCCGCTTTCAAAGATTATAAAAAGAAGACATTTGAGATGAAACCATAACAGACGCATTCTGTCTAGCGCAACTTCCTTCCCTTCACAGCGTTGCGCTGTCATTTCTTCCTAAACCCAAACGTACCGTCAGAATCAGCACGATCGGTGATTGTTGTAAAATGCAGTCTGTACTGTTGCTAAACTGCGGACGCGTTCAATCATTAAAAGAGCTATTAAAGGCACAAAAGTCTGCGCAAGATAAGTTGTTCACGACGCGCGCTCCGAAATGCACTAAAACGAGACAAGAAAAGTAGGCTATCGCCTCATTTTGGGCTTCATGTGCGCATCTAAACCATCAAATATACATAAAATATAAAATGACCTGCTTTGAGATTCATTTAAACACAGTTTATGTCTTAATTGGACGTAAATAGTTGGGAGAAAATGATGGTGCATCAGTCATATATTACAGTAGAGTTCTGCATTCGGTCTTAAAGGGGCAGTCTAATAAACGTGACGATTGAGCCAATGCGAATCAAACAACAAAAGGCAGATACAAATCACTCACAGCTCTTGAATGAATAACTTAAACTTTAATAAGCATTAATCTAACTATGATAAACTATGCAGTGTCATTTTACATTTGATTACTAGCTAAATTAAATTTCTTTTCAGAGAGAGCGACAGACTTTACTGAAAAGTAGCTAATTTTAGACCTTCTTGAAATTAAAGCACTGTGTATATAGGCTAATTTGTATCTTTGTTTAATTGTATTCTTTGTTTGACCATGTGTTTGTACTTGTTTTTGCTTATCTCATGTATATATGCATAACAAATAGATATTTTACACATTTTGTGACTTGCCTAAAATGTAACTGGTCGTATTTTGCATTAACACCTAGCGGTGGATGCACAGTTTGAAGACCCAGTCAGTGACGTCACAATATGCATTTTTTTTTTTAAATTTGCGATCACCATCTCCAAAATTGTACCTTTTTTTTTACACTGAATCTTGAAAAAAAAAATATAGACCTACCTACCGACCCTTTTTTTAAAAAAAATTGCTGTTACTGCAAACCAAAATATTTTTAAGGATGGCCTTAAAGCCCCCCTGTATCAGTAATCGTATCCCTTAATACTCCTCTTTGATCACCAAAATGACACATTTAAACGTTTTTTTCATCATGCCTGAAAATATCTTGAATGTAACTCGACACCCTTGCCTCATTTAGTATACACAGTTCTATGAATATGCAAATGAGCCCCGCCTCCACTCACTCAGCTCAGAGATCTACTCGTTGACGATAACACGTTGGTGTAGTTTGTGAAGTCAGAAACACCAGCGATTTCAAAGCGTGTTTTTGAGACTGTCTTTGGTTCACTGCAGTTTTAAGCACAAAATACTCAGCAATGCTGTCGACTTATGAATTTACACATGGTTTGTCTTAAAGCACATTAAAAACACCACATAGATACATAAACAACATTAAAAGCTTGACTTTAACCACAGGGAGACTTTACGATTTCTACTCGCACTTGGCGAGTGTTAAGTTTAGGCTTTGGCTATAAGCATGCACAGGGCTCCAGACTGCGACCAAAATTTGAGTGTGTGCGACTGAATTTTACATCCAGTCGCACATGTGCGACCAGTAAATTTGCCACACGTTAAACGCATGGTAAAGCGTAGAAGGGGCGTGTCAATGAATCCGTGACAAGAATAGGGCGCGTAAACGTCTGTGGGAAGGAGACGGAGACAAATATCACAACCTGATGTGCGTCTGAGCAATCAGCGATCTATCGACTCGTTAGTCGTTACCTAGCAGCGAATGCAAACAAAATGAAAGTGGAACGAAAATACGCCACTCATATATGATTAGGACCGTGGATCCGATCCGAACCATTGACAAAATAAAGCCCCGAACTTGCCAGTCGCGGGCCGATCTCGCTCACACGACACTGTTACTAGGAGATCCAGTGAAGAAATCCAGTGAATTCGCCTCAGAATTAATAACATCAACACCACGAGATCCAGTGAGAAACACTCCGATTCTGTTATAAACCATATCAGATCAAACAGCGCTGACGTGGAAACCAGGAGAAAGACTTACAGAAGGATTTCAGTCCACAAATCAGCAACTTATCAGCATGGCAAATAGTAAGTTAACTCTAACCATAAATATGATGATGTGTAAGAAATAGTCAAATGCTTACAAGTAGCCTATACATCTTTTCCCAGCACTTTAATAATATCATATTTGTATTTTTTATGTGATTACCAACACAATTTTTGTTCATCCTTTAAAGATTTTTAAAGAAAATTTTAAGATGTTGGAAAACTCTTATTTAAACACTTAATAATAATAATAGGCTACCATTGTAAACAGGATGTTTATTGGCTATTTTCACTCCATAATCCATATACATATTTTCACTACTTTTATTAATTAATATTAAGACATTATAAATGATAATAACTAAGTTAATTTCATCTACACCCTAAATTAAGCTTAGTGATTTATTGTCGGCCCCAGTGCTACCAGAATTTTTTATTGTTTTTATTTTTATTGTATAACTCGCTGTGAGTTCTCATTTGAAGTGATGCTGCCCTCAACTTTGAGTCTGGAGCCATGTGAACTTAAAATAAAACAGCATATCATAATGTTAAGTCTATTTATTATTAAAGAATTTGTCAGTATTACAGTTACTTTGGGGGAAATTTGAATAATTGCATTGCGAGCTGATTTTTTAATTTTCTGCTTGCGCTCCTAAAATTTTCAGTCAGGGGCAACAGCGCTCCTAGTAAAAAAAGTTAGTCTGGAGCCCTGATGCAGCCTGTCGAATAATAATTGGATGAGGTGGAAAAACGACAAATTACTGGAAACTCAACGACACCAGACGTCTTTGTTGTCGAGGGCTTGTTTAGAAATACTCTCTACTGTAGTTTAAACGAGTACACTCTAAAAAATGCTGGGTTGTTTTAACCCAACTTTGGGTCAAATATGGACTAACCCAGCCGTTGGGTTAAATTTTTACATTACATTTTTAACCCAACATTTCGGGTTTGTCCATATTTGACCCAAAATTGGGTTAAAACAACCCAGCATTTTTTAGAGTGTACAAAGATGTTGAGCGACTATATTTGTGTACGTAATTCTGCTTTGCGTTTGACACACTTGGCGTTGGCGTCAAAACTGAAGTGCTTTAAAAGAGTAAAATGAAATCTAATCTGATTTTAATGTGTGTGTTTCCAGCTGATGACACGGAGATCTCGTTTGACCCGGATGACATCATCACTGGCATCGAGATGATCGATGAAGGCTGGTGGCGAGGATACAGTCCGGACGGACATTTCGGGATGTTCCCAGCAAATTACGTTGAACTTATCTAGCGCCGCTCAATGTATCCCCCTCATCGGAGTCGCATTGCAGATCGGCGGCCCTCGAGGAGCCAAACGGGTCCCGTATATCTGATTCGAAAGACTAAAACTAAAATCGTGGACCAAAAGGGTGAAGATCACGAGACCAGGGAGGGGGGTATTTAAGCTGAGATTGATATTTCATACTGTATTGGTAGAAGTGTCTTGTTCATTTTATTTCAATTCAAGCCGTTATAATTTTATAAAAACAATACTCTGTCACGTATGCCCGAAAAAGCGACCACTTTAAATGGCTGTTCGTGCCGGTTTCCTGCAAATCAAATTAGTGCTTGTGGTGACATTCCTGTGACTTGCAATTATATATTTTTAGATTTTTTGAAGACATTCCTTTTGAACAAAGCTAGTGAGTATATCGTTCCAGAGATGTTTGTGGTAGTCAAAACATATCGGTCCCGTTTTGCCTTGGTTTCTGCCTTCTCTTCTCCACAAGCCCGAGCGCGACTGCCTTGCTTTCTTCAGGATCACAGCACAGATGTTTTGCTGAAATCAGTACAGGTGAAACTCGGGGGAAAAAAAAGGAAAATCGTGCAAAAGTTCAGTAATTCAACTTAAAAGGTGAAACTATTATATTATATAGACTATGCAAAGTGAGATATTTTAAGCATGGCTTATAGATATGAAAACCCCAAATTCAAAATTAGAATAATGTAAAAATATTCTCATAATCTGTAAGACATAATCATCAAAATTATAACCAATAAAGGCTTGAAATATCTCATTTTGTCTATATAATATATTAGTTTCACCTTTTAAGTTGAATTGCTGAACTTTTGCACGATATTCAAATTTTTCGAGTTTCGCCTGTAGATGAAATTAATTTATTTGCTGTGTTCTATACGGCACATGAATATTGAATATTAAGGTTGTTAATGTAGATTTAGGTGTACGGTGAGATAATGGTGAATGATTTAATGGGACCTCAGCTTTCCTGTCTGCTCAGAAATGTGGAGAATATTAATACTGTGATTTTTAGGTTTCAGGGAACCTTCGTTCTTTCATCATCTTGTTTTCGGGTCCCAGTTGGTGTTTTAGTTTTTGCCAAGGCTCAAAGAGAAAGTTCACATCTGATTTATTCAGAGTCAGACCACTCATACACACTTTACTGTCAGTGCTGTGCCAATGCGAGAGTGTGAGGAGAAGTATTTTTGAGGAAATGTTTGAGGTTTCTTTTTTAACAAAAACCTGTGTCATCTCAGTCATTGAACGGCGGTGTAGTTCCTCTCGAGAGCTCATTGTGGAAATCTAACAATTCTGGACAACATTGTAACGTCAATTAAAATAAATAAATAAAGAGTTTTAAGGCTGAAGGAAAGTTGCTGATTGGTGTTATTTGATATTCTTCCTATGTAAAGCTTTATTAAAATGTGCATTAAATTGAACAAAAACAGAAAATACTATTATAATGTTAAAAAAGCACTGGTTATTTTGAATTTCTCTTTAAAAATACTAATAATCAAATGTTTCTTGAGCATCAAATCCTCATATTAGAGTCATTTCTGAAGGATCATGTGACTGAAGAGTAATGATGCTGAAAATTAAGCTTTGATCACGAATAAATTACGCTTATCTGTTTTCTATGTGAATTTAACATTGCAGTAATATTTCACAATATTACTGTTTTTACTGTATTTTCGATCAAATAAATGCAGCCCATTAAAACATCTTCCTGACCCAAACATTTTGATCAGTAGTGTAAGGAACAAAGTCATTTTTTACTAAACATTTTCTGCTGCTCTCAAAGCTATACACGCATTTCAGACCTGAAGTTCAATTGTGAATAATAAGAAGAAAAAAACTTTTTTTTTTTTTGGAGCTTGAAATATTTTAAGTTGCAAATCTTGGCAACTATATAAAAAAAATAAAAAAATTTTTTCGTCCTTTCCACCATATTTCCAATATTGTGCCCAATGGCCATGAATGAACCCTCAGGTGCTCTTTGGTCATTTCTGACCGATAAATTTTCTGTTTTGAATTTTTTAAAATCACAGCTTCATCAGAATGTTATGAAACTTGGTGACTTTTATGGCATTATGTATGTGAACACACAAAAAAATTGAAGTCATGATCTGAGCATGCTAAGTGGTATTAAAAAAAATAGTCACACTTGTGGTCTTTGGTCAAAAATGACCCCCATAGGAAATGAATGGGAAATTGACAAACACAAAAATTCACAAATATTTATGTATTTTTTTTTTTACATTTTTTAAAATAAAAAATCGTTTTTGAGATTATTTCAACAATATATTCAAATCCAGCAAAAAAAAAAAGTGTTCATAAACATCTGGGGAATTCACATGCTTCTCCATAGAGAGCTATACATGCCATCTAGTGGTTACACCATGATTCTACGCTTTTTCTCTATACTGTAACCAGATGGTGCTAATTTTCTTCAAAAAATATTTTTTTCTGAAGGCCTAGACTCTATATTAAACTAAAAAACTGCATTAATAATTTTTTGAAAAAAAAAAATAATATGTATATAGAAAAATATATATATTTTTCCATGGCAAAAATAGACCATAAATATTGCATAAATATTAATAAATTCAATCAAGTTGTCTCAAAATACTAAATTACAAATAATAAATATTATAGAACAAAAATAAAATGCATTGGTTTTACTGGGATGGAGGAAATTAAATTTTTAGGTGTCCGGTCACTTTTGACCGAAGGGCGAAGAGCACCTGAGGGTTAATAATCCATTCTCGTTTTAGTAAATCATGGCCTTGTTGAAAGATTTAGTTTTCTCGTTTTTATTTAACTAAAACAAGGGAATGGATTATTACTACAACATGGCAAGAATTTAGTAAAACAATTTAATAAGTCATGGGAACGAATTGTTAAAATACATATTTTCTCATGAGCGGGGCTTTGCATTATACCATTAAAATTCTGCCTACGTTTATAACCCATTTTGCCTTGGAAAGGAGATCATGTCAAACATTATTTTGCATTAGATTAGATGGAAAAAGCCTAATCAACAACAATTGTCAATTTTTAAAGGGGAATTTGACCCAAACATCATTTGTTTACCCTCAAGTTGTCCCAATCCCACGACTCTCTTTGTTCTGTCGAACACAAAAGGAGTAATTCTGATTAACGCACTAATTGTTTTTCCATGCAGTTTCAGTTAAGATGTTCCAGAAATTCTAATTTATTCATTTTACTATCTCAAATATACATCTTCTAGATGTTGAAAGTCATTACACACTCAATGTTCCTTTCCGTGTAAAAACGATGAACAGATTAACCGTTTCAGCTCATTATGTTTAATAGCCTCACAATTTAGTGCACATCTCAATACGGAAAATGCAAGGTTTGATGATGACTTTGATGTTTTAGATGTCTCCAATGTAAATAAACACACTTTGTTACCAGGGAGGATTTTTCTCACACTAATTCTATGTCATACATGACAAAAGCCACAGATTTAGTGATCTACGACCTGTGTGTGTGTGTCACCCTCAACGGGTTTCCTGGAATAAGCGAAATCAACATGGCCGTTTGGGGATTTTTTTTTTTTTTTCTCTCTTTTGCTCTATAACCCCCAGTTTCATTTTCAGAAGAAAAAGAGACTGTACTTTTCCCCCTTCTTTAGAGATCACAATCATCTTGTTTTTTAACTGAAGGTTTAACTGATGTTTCGCGATTCCTCAGATAACGTTTCAGCTCTAACATTATTCACTTTTTCCATCCATATTTCCATAATACCTTCTATCCCATATCCAGCGATCTGTTAGTGCTTTGAGGTCTGGTATTTATAGATGCTGAGAGGTGACTGTGGGACATGGAGTTATGATGCAGTCGAGCACAATATTAACTTTATTTTGAAAAGGGAAGTAAGAAATGTCTTGATGGAAAATATCGACTCACTTCTGCAAAAAAGGCAGCGGAAGTCCTTGCTGACCCAGAGATAATGCTAGTACTGGATGATGATGATCAGCTGTATTTCCATCTGAGCAAAGCATTTTCTTTAAATAAAATTAGACTATTTTTTTTTAAGGAAATATAGTTTTTAAAATACAGCCTAATATGCGAATATAAAGCTTAATATATAGCCTAATATGTTGTGTTTTTGAAACTGATTTCCCCCCACATTTAAAAAAATAATAATAATTATTGGCGATCGATGTGGAATGTATCGGTTGCTTTTATGTTTGTATTGATCATGTTTTAGGAATTTGGGAAATTTCTGATTTCTGAGAATTTGGACGGTTGTGTGTATGTCTCATGAGACTACAAGCAAATTTGTTCTCTGAACTGGGATACCTACTCAATGTAAAACCGTTCACTGCAGTAATGTAACTTCTGAATCGAGTCACACAAAACCACACACAGCATGAGTGCGTTTATGCGTTACTCATTTAATTCCTAACATAAGCGTTATGATCTTACACCAATATCAGAATCAAAGCGTTGTCGTTTCATACCATAACCATACATAAGTGTAATATCCAATGTTCTCACAGGTGAAGTGTGCATAAGGGAATACTTCAGTAAATATAATAGGCATAACCAAAAGTTCGCTTTGAGTAATGAATTTTAAACTACTGTGCAGACAATTATGATAAATGTAAATATGTGTAATAATGTCTATTTATTGTTTTTGTCTGCACTGTGATAGAAAAGTCCATTACTTATTTGCTTCTTGTATACCAGATCATTCGATAATGAATGATTGATTTGGCTGTTTGTCTTTTAGGAAGTTGCAAACAGTGAAATATTAAAATATTAGAACGCTCACTCTCGGTATTACATGTGCAATAGCGGAGTAAATCTGGCAAAACTGCTCAAATTTTGCCTAAAATATGAAAAGAAGTTTTGTTTTGTTTTAAGGAAATCTAATTTTAGGACCATTAAGACTTTTGACATTATTTTCATTATAATTAAACACATTCTCATAACTGTAATGCATCTGAGCATTTAACTTTTTTTATTTATCTTTTTTCAATGGTGATTCTCACAAACATATATATATAAATAAAAGACATCAATGCTATCATGATATATAGTTTTTCAATTTATAAAGCATTTTCATGTTGCATTTATGAGGATGCACCCTTTCTGCACTACAAAAATGTGTATTTTACAATGGAAAAATCTTTATGACGCTTAAGGGGGTCGTGAAACCCCCTGTTTCAGCACCAGTCAGTTCTCGGCAAAGTTTTGAAAAATGCTATATAAGTGGGCGTGGTTAAGATGCGAGAGAAGCTCATACTGTAATCACCTAATCTATTGATACTTTCAGACTGTGAAAAAAACAGTGATTAGTCGTTTTCAAATCTCATCTGAAATAATCAGATTACTATTTTGATGTTTCAAGGTTTGATGTTAATCTAACGCATTACAAGTAATGTGCATTACATAATCAGATTACTTTTTAATGCAACGAGTAAAGTAAATACAAGTAATGTGCATTACATAATCAGATTACTTATTAATCTAAAGCGTAAAGTGAATACAAGTAATGTGCATTACATAATCAGATTACTTATTAATCTAAAGCGTAAAGTGAATACAAGTAATGTGCATTCCATAATCAGAGTACTTTTTAATGTAATGAGTAAAGTAAATAAAAGTAATGTGCATTACATAATCAGATTACTTATTAATCTAAAGCGTAAAGTGAATACAAGTAATGTGCATTACATAATCAGATTACTTTTTACTGTAACAAGTAAAGTAAATACAAGTAATGTGCATTACATAATCAGATTACTTTTTAATGTAACGAGTAAAGTAAATACAAGTAATGTGCATTACATAATCAGATTACTTATTAATCTAAAGCGTAAAGTGAATACAAGTAATGTGCATTACATAATCAGATTACTTATTAATCTAAAGCGTAAAGTGAATACAAGTAATGTGCATTACATAATCAGATTACTTATTAATCTAAAGCGTAAAGTGAATACAAGTAATGTGCATTACATAATCAGATTACTTATTAATCTAAAGCGTAAAGTGAATACAAGTAATGTGCATTACATAATCAGATTACTTATTAATCTAAAGCGTAAAGTGAATACAAGTAATGTGCATTCCATAATCAGATTACTTTTTAATGTAACGAGTAAAGTAAATACAAGTAATGTGCATTACATAATCAGATTACTTTTTACGAGTAAAGTAAATACAAGTAATGTGCATTACATAATCAGATTACTTTTTAATGCAACGAGTAAAGTAAATACAAGTAATGTGCATTATATAATCAGAGTACTTTTTAATGTAACGAGTAAAGTAAATACAAGTAATGTGCATTATATAATCAGATTACTTTTTACTGTAACAAGTAAAGTGA